ATTTTATCAGGCACATCAATGGCATGCCCTCATACAACAGGTGTTGCCGCCTATGTCAAATCATTTAATCCATCTTGGTCTCCAGCAGCCATAAAGTCTGCTCTCATCACCACTGGTATTACTAATTTGACTTTTGCAATCATAAGTACATGGATAACAAATGCAATGTCAATTTATATTTTATTAATTTTATCTTGATGAATTAACATTAAAATTTAATTATTAATTCTCTCAGCCTATGTGATGAGCTCAACAAAGAATGCTGAGGCAGAACTTGCTTATGGGGCCGGTCACATAAACCCACTCGCAGCTTTGAGTCCTGGTCTTATATATGATGCTCAAGAGATAGACTACATCAAAATGCTATGTGGTGAAGGCTACTTCACTACAATTCTAAGACTTGTCACTGGAGATCAGAGCAGTTGTGCCTCTACAAATAATGGAACGGTTTTAGATCTCAATTATCCTACATTTGCTCTGCAAACTCAACATGGAAAGTCTTTTTCAACTTCTTTCCGAAGAATAGTCACTAATGTGGGAGTGCCAAATTCCACTTACTACGCTATTATTAATGCTCCTTCTAGCCTCAAGATCAACGTTGAGCCGAAAGTTTTATCTTTTGAAGCTCTTATGGAGAAGAAATCATTTTCAGTCAAACTTGAAGGAGTTGCTTACGAGACCATTATCTCGGGTGCTTTGATTTGGAGTGATGGTACTCATAATGTTAGAAGCCCAATTGTTGTGTATACTAGCCAAAATTAACGTTCTCATTCTCTGTGAGAATTTATCATATTTTCTATTAATGATTATATGCTTTTTCAAAGTCAACTAATGTTTTTGCTTTCTTAGCGATTATGTCTACATTCCTACTGATGATGTAATGCATTATATGTTGAGGAAGGACGTTGTTTTCTTAATCATTTTTTCATGTCATATTTTCTTTTCTCTTAGTTCTTATTACAGTTTTACGAGTTCTATTTTCATTTATTCAAAAATATATGATAAACATTGCTAGGAATAACCACCTCATGAACAAGCCTAGCAACTCATTATTAATGTAAAGCAGTAAAATAAAGGATCCCTCATTACTCAAATAGGCTATGCTAAAGAAGTTATCAAGAAAGTTACATAAATATTAAGGCTTTGTTATACTATAAATTTACCATAAATTGTTTATGATTTTATTTATTTATCATGGACTATCTAAAGATGTTGATCAGCATTAACGTATCAAATATCATAAATTAAATAAATATGATATGCATACTATAATAAATTTAATTCCTCTAAAAGAGAAATAGAAAATTAAATATTACAAAAGTGATATTTTCAATAGGTTAACTCGTAGGATATAATTCAATTGTCTCTTTTAAAACTAGAAGCCTTTTATTTATTAGTTTTTGACTATTCGTGACCCCCCTTTTATTTTCATCTTTTCATTTTAGTTTAACCACAAAAAAAAAGATACTTAATGCGCATGTTTTTATTTATTTATTATTTTATTAAAAGAGTATATTTTGGCATGTCATATAAATATTAGATACTTTAATCTTATAAAATATTGATATATCTTGGTTTATCAAGTGTCTATTTTATATTGTTTCCTGGTAGAAAATTTGCATCCATATAGTAGAAGTTTATGTCCTAATTTTGAACAAGAAATCAGCCATTGCAGAAAATTCCTATAGGTGACAAACATTTTACGTGGAACCTACAAAAAAGGGAAAGAATTATGGGTAATTGAAAGACCCATTATAAATAGTAGATACCAGATTCATCCCTTCCTCAAAATTAAAGAAGATATCATAAAGTTTCCTTTTAAGTATTTTAAAAATCAAGTGTTCAAAAATTAACTTGATACTGATTTCTCTTTTATCCAGGCTCTGGTGTCGGAAGAGGACAATTATTTGCTCACTAAAACTTCCTCTGTTGAGGAGATTTGGGATAATTTAAATAGTATGAATTCTGACTCTGTTGCTGGTCCCGACGGATTTACTAGTAAGTTCTTCCAAAAATCTTGGGAAATTATTAAGGATGATCTTATTAGTGTTGTTGTTGATTTCTTTAATGGTTCTCAGTATCCTAAATTTTTCACTACAACTTCTATTGCTCTTATTCCTAATGTTCACAATATTAATTTTTGGAATGATTATAGGCCTATTAGTTTGTGTTCCTTTCTCAATAAACTGATTTCTAAAATTTTAATGGGGATACTTGCTCTTATTCTTCCCAAAATTATTTCTCTGGAGCAGTTTGGCTTTGTTAAAGGTAGATCTATATTTGATAATGTTTTACTTGAGCGGAATTAATTCATGATTTGGATAAGAAGGTTATCGGTGGGAATATTGTTTTTAAAATGGACATAACTAAAGCTTATGATAACCTTAATTAGGAATTTCTTTATGTCATTTTAAAGTTATTTGGGTTTAATTCTCAATTTATTACTTTGATAAAAAATAGCATTGAATTTTGTAACTTTTTTTTTATTATTAATGGTAAACTTCATGATTTTTTTCGTTCTTCTCATGGGCGTAGACAAGGTGATCCCTTATCTCCTGCTCTTTTCATTATTGCTATAGAATTTTTATCTCGTGGCCTCAACCAATTTTTCAGAATGCATCCTAAATTGTATTATCGGACAGGTGGTTTTTTGCCCCTGACCCATTTGAGCTTTGCATATGATTTCATTATATTTACCAATGGGTCTATTAAAACGGTTCAAATGCTTTTCAGTTTTCTTGAAAATTTTCAGAACACTACTGGTTTAACGTTTAACAAATCTAAAAGTTTGTTTATTATGGCTAAATCTTTTGCTGCTTCTCGCATCCATAGCATTGAAAGGAACACTAGTTTAATTAAAGAGTCCCTTCCTATGAAATATTTGGGTACTCCTCCATTTAAAGGTAGGAAAAAGCCATTCCTTTTTTATGACATTTTCTCCACCATTCAGAAGAAACTTACTGCGTGGGCTTTCAATTACTTATCTTATGGTGGTAGACTTGTTCTCATTAAACATGTTCTTTGTTCTATTCCTGTTTATTTGCTCCACACTTTGGCCCCTACTGTTAATGTTTCGAGAAGGTTAGAGGCTCTTTTCAACAAATTTCTTTGGGGTTCAAAGGAAGGATCTAATGCTATTATTTGGGGCTTTTGGAAAAATTGTTCTGGGACTTTGGAAGAAGGAAAACTTCGGTTTAGAACCATAAAAGACATGGCTAAAACTTTTAATCTTAAATTATGGTATAATTTTAGAGCCAACAAGAGTCTTTGGGCCAAGTTTATGGTTACTAAATATTGTGGCATCAAGCATCCTTTAATTTTCTCTTTTCGAATTGGTGATTCCAAAAACTGGAAAGACTTTGCAATGTCAAATGGGAAGCTGAGGAGTTAATTCGATGGGGCTTAGGTGTTGGCAATATTCATTTTTTGTCAAGATAAATGATTAGGTAATTTTTCTATTGATAATCTTTTATATACGCGTTCTATTTCCCATTGTAAAGTTAAGGATTTTTTTTCCAATTGGAGATGGAACCTTGATTTACTTTCCACTACGGTGCCAGATTTTATTATCAATTTAATTTGGAAGATTACTATTCATGTTGAGATGGATGATTGTATTTTGTTTAATTGTTCCAAAGATGGTAAATTCAGCTCTAAACAAGTTTGGAAATTAATTAAACATGCTCATCCAACTAATTTTATTAATGTTGCTTTCTGGCATACTAGTATTCCTCCTACTTATTCTTTTCTGACTTGGAGAATTTTACATAGTTATGTTCCTGTGGACTCAATGCTTATCAAGAAAGGTCTCTATATTGTTTCCAAGTGTCAGTGTTGCTATCACACTGAAAATTTACTCCATGTTTTCTTTTAAGGTCCTATTGCTATGAAAGTTTGGATTCACTTTGACAACTTGTTTAAAGTGTTCTCAACTTTTCATTTTACTTCTATCAATGAGGTGTTAAGTGAATGGTTTACTAAACTGAAAGGCCATATTCGTAATAGCATTCCTGTCTTGATATGTTGGTATATCTGGGTTAGTAGAAATGCTTCTAAACATGAGAATGTCTATATGGATGCGAGCACGATTATTTACAAAATTAAGCATAAAATTTTTCAATTGTATGTTGCGAAGCTTTTAAAACATGACTCTTTTAAAGGTTACCATCATCTGCATGAGGAATTTGGTTTGAATTTCTCTACTACTATTGTTGTTTCTAACAACAGGATTATTTACTGGACTAAACCTATGGTGGGGTGCTTCAAACTCAATACAGACGGTGCTAAAAACATTACTGAGGCAGGTTGTGGTGGCATTATTAGGGATACTAGGGGTTTTGTCATTAAAGCATATGCGGGTCCCTCTAATGCTACTAATGTTATTCAACCTGAGTTGGATAACCTTCTATATAGGATTCATCTTTGTAATTCTCTTGGGATTAATAACCTATGGGTGGAAGTGGACGCTATGCTTATTATTCATTACATTAAAGGTAAATCTTCTGCTAATTTAGATAACTTCTATAGTCTTAGAGATATTAAACATCTCCTGTCTCTTACGTCCTTTAAAATTTCTCATATTTTAACAGAAGGGAATGCGGTGGCCGATTTTCTTACAAAAAGGGGTTGTAAATTAGATAACTTTGTGGAGTTTGAGGAACATAACCTTCCTAAAGAAGTTAAAGGGCTTGCTAGATTAGATCGTTTGGGTTTTCCTTATATCCGGTTACTTTAGTGTTATTCTTGATTTTGCTGTTTACCCTTTCTGATTTTGCTGTGATGGATGTGGTTTTTTGTTTTCCTGGAGTTTTATGTTTCTTGTTATTCAATACGGAGCTATGTTTTGGATTGGTGTTGCTTCATTCCTCTCAGATTGGGTTGTTCCTACTGTATTTTGTTTCAGGATTGGTCTAATTTTTATTAAGCTTTTTGTGGTTGGGACTCTTTTGGATGATGATTTGGTGTTTTGTATTAGTTTGGGTGTTGATTACCGGCTCTGGAGGAATATGTTTTTGTTTTGCTATTCTTTTAGAGTTATTCTATGGTTTTTCTATATGGTTGTTGGCTGTGTAATTACTGGGATCAATGGTATGGAAGTTCGTTATTGCTGGCATGGGAGGACCAGATTTTTTGGTGTTTCCTATCTTGTTTCGCTGTGTGTGGAATTTGAGTTCAATTCTATTCAACATTTGGTTTATATGATCCAGTATACTTATTCTTTGAAAGGTGGTGATTCTATGTTTTATTTGTGGCTTGTTTCTGGTTCCTTCATATTTTGTGCCATGAGATATCTATTTCAACTCCTGCCTATTGCTCACCGTTTTGGGTACTCTTCTGGTATTTTTGCTCTGGGCAAGTCCCGGTTGCAGTGACTGCATTGGTACAATGTCTCCTTAATCAATCTCATTGAGGTTATGACTGTTAGCTTCAGGAATGTTTTTCATCAGGTATATCCTTTACCTCAATTCGGGTCCTCTTTTAGCAGTTCTGCTCTGGGCACTTCTCGGTTGCAGTCATTGCATTGCTGCACTGGTTCCTTACTTAACCTCATTCAAGTTATTGCAGTTATCTTCAGGGAAGTTTTTCTTCAGTTATATCTTTTACCTCATATTTTTTGCAAGTTTATGCATCTCTTTTCACATTATACCTGTTACAAAATTTATTTTTACTGGAGGTTCCTTTTTGTGCAGATTTGCTGCCAAAACTTGTGGTGTTACATTGGTTGCATAGAGAGTTTCTCCACCATTTTTTGGACATTTTGGAAGGTGAGTTACAATTTTTGCAGGAAGATTGTGCTGATCGTGTTAATCTTCTTCTTCCTTTTTGGGTGCTTTATTTTTGCACCGCTAGAATGTTATTAGGATTTTTTTTTATATCTTACTATCATGAACCACCGGCTCTCAGGTTTTATTTTGCTTTCTTTTGTAGCTCTTACGAGCATTAGTGAGTTGGAGGTTCCTTTTAAGGACCTTTTAATCACTTTTTTTATATTAACGCGTAGGCCCCTCTTAGGATTTTAACCAAAAAAAAAGTGTTAAAAAATGAACAGATAATACTCAAAAAAAAATTTTGATTTTCCCTATAAAGACTACAAAAGTTAGATGCCCATAGGCAAACAACTAATACCCAAAAAGTTTAAATCTTGTCAGGACTATGGAGATGATCTTGGTGATTTATTGTAGTGATCATTGGCAGCAATACCTAGCGGTGGTCATAGATTGTGATAACTGCTGGTGATCGTCGACGACGATAGTTGGTAATGGTCAGCAGTGGTGATAGCTAAATGCAAGAAAACTCTCCAGCCCTCTCTACTCTTCCTCGCCCCCTTCATGCAGATAAAAAAAGCTCTATTTATCGGCTTTTGAGGATTGACATTTTGATAATTTGAACCAAAATCCAAAATACTCCATCATTCGGTCCATATTGATTCTCTTAATCATTAAGTGTTTATTTAGCATTTAAGTGCCTTAATGATATTTAACTCAAGTGAATCTTGGGATCGTTAGATTTGTCTCGACGAGCCTCTCAACTCAGCTATAAGTATGTCAAATTTGGATATCATTTAGTCATTCAATATGCTTCAAGTATTTGATTTGATATCATATAACCTCGGATTAGGTCACTTTTGGTATCATTAGGTTCATATTGTTGAGATGTTCAATTCGACTATACATTTGATAAAATCAAAGTTCATATGATCTTGGATTTAAAGATCTCAAAAGTTTCTCAATTAAATTTTTGCCTAAAAATTCATGTAGAACATGTCAAAGTTTTATAGATATACTACAAGTCATTCTAAAATGTAAGTTTATGTATGAAGTATAGTTTATTTTCTTTTAATTTTCCGCTTTCATTTTAAATCTTAGAAAACATAGTTCCTTTTTTATTTTCTTATATTTTTAAACTTTGAAAATGTATAAATAATTAAAGAGTGCAAGTTAAAAGCATAAAAGAGGCATTATTTATCATGAATAAACTTTATCTGATGGTCTATTAGTGATGATTATATTTTTACTCTTGAATAAACTTTTAATATATTTATCATGAATGCATTCATCACATATAAAATAAAACTAAAAAATTTATTTTTTTTATAAATCAACTACTATATCAAGTTTAGAAAAAATTTTTAATGTGTGGATATTGGAATGCATAGCTTTCTATGTCATAACCATGCATCATCAATCATGGATTTCATACATAACAAATTCAAAATAATATCATTTATATTTTCTAAATTAATTAAATAAATTTTTTATTTCTGTTTCTAATAAGAAAAATAGTTATATTACTTCTAATGATAAAATATGAATCATAAAAAGAAATATCTAAACATTTATCGCATAATTGATCGATTGATATTAAATTATATTTTAAACTAAAAATAAATAAAACTTTTCTAAAACAATAGAGTTCTTGCAAATGAATCCAATGCCAATGATCTTTTCCTTTGCATTATCTTCATATGTAACATATCCTCCATCATTTGGTTATAAAGTAGTGAATTTTGCTTTATCACTCATCATGTCTTGAACATCCACTATCCAAGTTTCACATGTCTTCATTAATTTTGCTTTGAAGTCATTCCTACAAAATAAAATCAAATATTAATTTTTTAAACCCAAATATTTTTTGGTCCACATTCTAAATGAGAATATTAAAACTATCACATATAGTATGTGAAATGCTTGTATTTTTTGTGCCCATACAAAAGATGATTATTTAACATTTTGTGATCTACAAGCATAGCAATCAAATGAAATAAATTTTTTCTACCATAATAATTACACTAAATGTTAGCATTTACATTGGCTTAGTATGATGTCTACATATGTGGCATATAAGAAAAAATTTTATTTGATGTTCAGCATGATGGATCTCTATAATGAACTTATGATTTCATTCATAAATCTAGTCTTATTTTTAACAAAATGTTCTCTCTTTCAAATTTCCAAACAAGTAAAAAGATATCTAATAAAGTATATATTTTTCAAGTAATCACATTTAATTATTAATTCATTAAAATGCATATCTAAATTTTATACCTTTTTTTTAATTTTTTATTTTGTATTTAATTTTTTATATTCACCAACTAGTTCATTAAATACTTCCTGTAATTCTTCATAAAATATATCATTACACGCCACTTAAAAATCATAATAAGATTTTGCTATTGTTATAAGACAAATGTTGACCGTTTCATCTCATAAAATTAATTCATCAAAATATGATTTGGCCCATAAAAGGTTCTTCTTCTTCTTGAAGTGCTTTTCTTTATTTTCATTCTTCCTCTCAACATCCTCTCTTTCTTCTTTGAATCAATAAGATCGAGAAAATCTCCTCTTACATGTCCAAGCTTCTTGCAATGGTAAAAATGATCCCTTCAAATATTGGAAATTTTTTAGATTGAAATTTATAATATTTATATTTCTTATACATTTGATTTTTCTTCCTTACAAAGCTTCCAAGTCTTTATGAAAGCATGACCACCTTATCATTATCTTCATTTGAACTTGAGATGTTAGGGTCATCATGATCATCAATCTATAAGGCAATATAGTTTTTCCTTTCTTCTTCTCTTTCTTAATAGAGTTTTCCAACATATCCTTTTGAGCTATAATATATTCATGTGATATCAAAGAACCTAAAGGCTGATCAAGTGGATAAGTAGATAAAGCTTTATCTTTTCTAATTACAATTACTTAAGTATTCCATTCTTTAGGAAGGCATCTAAGAATCGTATAGACTAAATCTTGATTATTAATTATTCTTTCAAGAGAATATAAAGTGCTAATTATTTTTATAAATCTAGTATACATATCAAAAATGTATTCAAAAGGAGACATACAAAATAGCTCATATTTATGAACGAGTCTATTTATGTAAGCATCTCTAACCTCACTAGTCCCATAATAAGTTATAATATAATTAACTTATCTCTTCTTCTTTTTCCTTTTTTTCGCTGAATTTAACATACAAATTTTTATGGAATCATCTAGAAGAAGTATTAAAATGCAAAGCATTTATCTCATCTAACTCTCTCTTTCTGAAGTAACATAGTAATCAAAAATTTTAATTTCATTTATTTTTTTAGTAGGTGTATGATATTGTTGTGTAAGAATGTGCCACATACAAGATTCCTGTCAACTTAAAATTGTATTAATTCTCTTTTTTCACCAATCAAAAGGGACATTATATAATAATGATGGTTGATGAGTGGATTATCCTTCAAGAAGTGAACCCTTAAGAAAACCTTGTGTCTTAGTTTATAAGTGGACCTACTCTGGGATATTAAGTCAAGCTCTAATATCAATTGTTGGATAACTATGACACCCTAAGAGGGGGTGGATGAATTGGATTTTTTTTTATTTGATTAAATAAAATAATTAATATAATTTTGATGCTAATTAACAAGGAAATAAATAAACACATAATTTTATATTTTTTAGTAAAGTAAAAAATGTAAGTAAATAAAATAGCAAACTGATATTTTTATGTTGTTTAGCCCATATTTCAATTTCCTCGTAAATCTCACTTCTTTAAATTAAAGAAGAATCTTACAATCTAATTAAAATATGAACTTCACTATGCCAAATAGCTTAGATGAAAAAAATATATAATTTGTTATAGCAAATAAAGATCAAATTATCTTACAATCAAATGACCTAAATATTTGAAGTGATTTTTTAAAATACTGATAATCACCTCACCACTTGTAAATAAAATATAAAATTTGCTCACTATAATATATATACATTACATAAAAATATATTGCTTGTTAATTTAAAATATAACTTCTTAAATCATATAAAGTAGATATATTAAATTTAAATATGTACAAATAATACTTTTAAAATAAATTAGATTTGAAATATAAATCTTTGTCAAAAGCAAATGGATATGCTTACTAATTTTTCGGATGAAAGAATTTCAAACCAAAAAAACTTAATCTAAGATCCTCAACTAGCATTTCACTCAAATGTAATATTTTTTTGTAATATATGAGGTTAAATATAAACGAACAACTAAGAAATATTTGGAGAATGAAAAATAAACTCAAAAACTTTAAGAGATGCTTAGTTGAATGCGTTGAAGCTTTCGAACCAAGTATTTGATCTTACAAAGATGTAAATCACTTGAAATGAATATCTATGATTCTCCTCTCAAAACATTGCATGAAAAGAAATGAAGTAGAATAAAGAATGTGATGGAATATCCAAGTAAAGAGTATCCCTCACATCATGGAAAAAAATCATTTAAAATCAATACTGGTCACTGACTAATCATTTGTTGCATTCAATCAATCATCAATTTACTCAAGTACACACTCATTCAGTCACTCAATGTGCCATGTAATAACTATCAATTAATATATTTAAATGTAATTATAACTATATGAATTAAAATTTTACCAATGGATCCTCTATATGCATCTATATCCCTCTGTTGGATCAAACTATAAACTCTAAGTCATACGGGTGATAGTGTTGGTGTGTAGTAGACTGTATAGGTCCTCCTTGACATTCAACTACTCTTCTTCCATCCATCCTACTCAAAGAACCTTCATTGTATTCTCTAGTTATATGGTTCTCTTTCTATAACCTTGCCTGGCTTGCTTCCCTCTGAATTTGGATCCTATCACATGTCATTATAGGGGGGCAATGAATCATTTGGTGTCCTCATAGTCCAGATCTAAAACACCATCCAGTCATAAAAAAATATGTTCCCCTATATCTGTTACCACATCAGGCACACTCCAGTATACCCCCATACTGGACTAAGATGAAAATTTCTTACAACATGCTGTTTGAAAATCAACCCTTCTTTTCACTGCTCTCTCTCCTAGTTATGCCATCTCCCGATCTCTTCTTATTCATATCTTTTTGTTAACAGCGGAATGACCAAGTCATTCTCCACTAGTCTCGCTCTCTCAACCAGCTCTAAAAACTCCTAAATCCTTAGTGGTACAAGTGGTTGCCCCAATTCATCTTACTGCCCTCTCAGGAATCTGTAGCATTTCTTCCCTGTTGTACTGATTAATTATAGCTTATACCTTACTAGTTTAGTGAATTTATCTTCATATTGCATCAATATTTTGCCCCTGCTCCAATCTCAAGAAATACTCCTATATTTTTTATCGAGCTAAAGGAGATACGAACCAAACTCTGAAAATAATAACAAACTCTGCCCAAAAAATCTTTGCTTTCATGTTCCCCTACAATTTCTCTTGTTATTATCCTATCCACCATCTTTTTGGTTCTCCTTAAAATAGGAACATTATAAGTGGTACTTCTCAATTCTCTGGGTATTATATACCGTTAAATATTTTCTTTATCCTCAATAACCAATCCTCTACTGCATATGGCTCTACAACTCCATTGAATAATAGAGGCTTTAATTTATGGAACATATGTAGATGCTTGTCCCCTTTAGACTCCTTGTGTCCCACCAATCTACTATGAGCATCACTCATAACTTGTGCAAGCATGCTAGCTAGCTGCAGCAAACTATTAGAACTTACTATAACTATTGATGCACTCTATCCATTATGTATATCCTTATTAGTAGGGTTCATCTATCCACTAATAAAATTCGCATTCCTAATTAACAACACAAACTCAACTTACTTTCATGTGCAATTCGATCAAATGTAGAAATCAAAATCTATGCTACCCAACTTTTACCCCGCTCAAAATCAATTCTTATAGCTCTGATATCTAGTGAAAATAACTAATAATTTAATATTTCAAAATATTCTAATATATTTATTCTCCCAAAATCAATATATAATTGTCATGAGATCATTATAATTATTATTCTATCCCAAACTCCTAACTATAAAAGAATAAGAAAAAATATAAACAAAATTAAAAGAAATTATAAGATTCTCTATCAATCTCACTCAAATTTTTCATCCATTGCCTGATATAAAATTATTAAAATTCATATAATGAGCATAAATCTCCAGTAAGTAAGCCAAATTCTATCACTTTTTTCAAGGCAAGTGAAAAGAATCAATATGTACAATCAGTTCTAGTCAATATTAATCATCACTTAATATGAGTGATAAAAATATCAAAAATAATAATAAGATTAATTTGATCACTAAAGTTAAAAGAGATATTTCAGCTATCAAACTATAAGAAAAAATCAATAAAGAGAACTATCACTCAATAAATCATGCTAGAATGTTATATTATGTAAGTATGAGTTCAAGTATAACTTAAGAGTAAACATGTATTCATTATAATGCTAACAGCTAGCCTTCCTTGCTTTCAAATAAATATTATATTTTTTTTGTCATATAATTCAATATCATATATGAAATTCAATAATTAAAAATATTGGGAAATTTACCAAATTTATCTACTATGCATTTACTTCAAGAAAACCAAAACTTTCAATTTAACAGTTGAAAATTCAATATGTACTAATCAAAATGCTCATATTGACAATATCTATTACATACCAAAAGTTATGCAGTGAAAGTTTTACCAATAAAAATTTATCTTTATTTTTTGGTAATGAAAATATAAATTTGATCAAAAAATAAAAAAAATTAAATTATTGAAATAAAAAATTGGATAATGGTTCGTTATAGTAAGATGAACAAATCTTCCAATATGATCGATAGACGAATTCTACTGCCTCCAAATCTAACATTTTTCTTTTCTCTCTCCTCATATTTTTTCTAAAATTTCCCAAAAAATTTCCCTGTTAACCAAAAATAAATAGTGAAAAGGAATTTAAAAATATTTTAAAGATTCTCTTAGTGACTTAGGATATTTTATAATAAAATAACAAACATAATGTAAATATAATTATATAATTTATTTAGTTTTCAATATAAAATTTATATAAATCTTTTTGGGCTTCAAAAATTATAAAAAAGTATCCATAAAATAGTCTATTTTATTTAAAAAAATTTGGCAAATTGCAAATGAACACCTAACAATTCTAAAATCTCCACTTATATCAATAGATATTAATTTCTTAAGATTTGCATCAATGCCTAAAAATTATGAAAAAATTAATATAATTAAAATACAATAATATCACCCTCAACATTATTTTATCTTTGATTTAAACTTAAAATAATTCCTTAAAAAATTATTTTTTTGAGTCAAAATACGAGCTATTACTCTCCACCATAAAAAATTATCGCCCTTAACATTTTCACGTATAAAAAATCAAAAAAATAATGTAAATATTTCACTAACAATTGTATACCTCCTAAAAACATAAAAAATTAATAATTAAAATCAATCAAATTTGAAATATTTATCTATTTTATCTTTTTAATTAACTAATCATGGCTTATATAAATCATCAAACTAATAAATCAAAATATCCAATGAAAATAACTAACCATTATATACATCAAAATATTTCACAATATACATTATTCTAAAACTAATATATTATAGCCAAGAGATTACTATAATTATTATTCTCTCATAAACTCCCAATTACAAAAGAATAAGAGAAAATATAAACAAAAAAAAAAAACCATGATCTCTCTAAATCTCACTTCAACTACTCTTGACCCATTCCCTAAATTGAAATTATAAAATTTACATAGTAAGCATAAAAGTCTAACAAGTAACCAAAATTCTATCACTATTTTTAATGCAAGGCAAAAGAATCGATATGTGCGTTCAGCTCTAGTCAATGAAACAACATAAATATTTCACTAATAATTGTATATCTCCTAAAAATCTCAAAAATTAATAATAAAATCAATATGATCATTAAATTCAAAAGATATCTATTAAATATCAAACTATTAGAAAAATCAATAAAGAGACACTTCATGAAAGTTATTGATTTGCGGCGACCTTTGTAGTGAAAATTTTTTTCTCAGAAGTTGCAATGGAACTATTCATCATTTTCTTTGTGATGAATTTGCAGTGGAATTTCTAATGTAAATTATGCCACAAATATGTCACAAATCCATTGCAAATTCAATGCAAATAAACCTATCTAAATTGGGTTATTGGGCATTTATTTCATTTGTACATTTGTTTCATTCGTTCATAGACCGCTACACAGCTCCATGAAGTTTATCTCATAAGGATTTCATATCATAAATGAATATCTTCTCAGACCCGGTGGCCTCAAGGCTATACAGAAAAAAAGAAGATGGTACTAGAACCTCCAGTGAAGGCAACATAACCCACGACGCTGCACAAATCCCTTTGATGAAACTTGTTTTCCACCGGAACCAACCAAAGAACATCTCAAACTTGTTGGCATTAATCATCATCATCCATACAACAAAACATCCACAACAAACTTGAAAATCCAGCTCAATAAAGAGTCGTTGGGAAAAAATTTGAAGCTCCTCAAGATTCTTCCATTTCATGACTTTTATTATGATAGCATTTCTGGCCGAATAGTACAGAGTAGTGGCACATATTTGACGCATCATTTGCATATCTAATTTAAAGGAAAAAAAAGTGAGGAGCATGTCGCTCATCACACATGTTCCAAATAATAAATATTGATTTTAAAAGTATATAACATAAATAACTTTTGCTAAGCTGTCACTTCTTTGTTATTTGAAGATTTACTACTTAAATAAGTTAATAGGCATTCAGCACTACCTTTAGCTATAATCTCCACCCCCGTAACAAAATATAATCCGAACAATTATGCCTTCTCCCACAAAAATTAAATATCATTATAATATTCAACATACTTTGAATCTATTTTAAGCAAGTAAGAACTCATGAATTTTTACTTTTCATATTTTACAAATTAAATACTTTAAATTAAATACTTTAAGTGTAATTTATCCGTATGTGTGAGAACTTCATCAATGTTATGACATTTAAGTACTCTTCTAACATCACAAAATATTGCAACACAAAACAATTGGAAAAAAAATTAAGAGAAACAAGCATTTAGTAGATTAATAGAGAAATCAATCCGTTATAATTTAAAAAAGATAGTTAAATTCATCTCATTACATTATCCGCTTCCAAATAATAATATAACCTAAATACAAATTTAATCACAAAAAAAAAAAAATCATTTCAATAATTGCACGCAGCTGGCGTTCATCATTATAGACAACGCAGAACACACCAAACCTTCTCAATTATTGCATCGAAGATAATTTCTTGTTCTGTTTATTCTTAAAATATCTTCAGTATTATCCTTCTAGAGCACCAACTGTACCCATTTAGCCACACTGGGCACTCCTTGATTTACAGCAAACGCCATGTAATAACCCGGCGGCGCCACCCCCCCATCCGGCGGCGCTGTACAACTAATTCGATAAAAATGCCTTCCATCCTCACCACTCTGCTCCACTGCCGCTGACACCTCTAATTTCACCAATCTCTGCCCCTGAGAGAACGAGTGCGTTGAGAACGGCGCACTCGCCAAATTCACCTCTATTATCCCTACCACCGGCAACTCCACCGACACCTCCACATCAAACGTTTCTCCATAACCAGCCTTCTCCGGCGCCACCACAACCAGAGGCCGGAGGTTGCTCCGATCCGGCGATAAATACTCCGGTGAAAACGCCTCGAGCCTCAACTCGGTCGAAAACTCGACATTGAACCGGTAGAAGTAATGCGGGTTGCTACCGGCGACGAGCACCCGACCGTCCGGTAAAAGGTTGGCAGTCGAGTGGTACATTCTGGCAATCGTGGTCGGGGTCAGCGTCATGAACCGGAGTCCGGAAGGTTGATCCGGCCGGTACAGAAGAGGGTAGAAGCATGGTTGGGTCGCCATCTCGAACCCCTGCGAACCGGCCATCGCACCGTTGATTATAAGCACATCACCGGTCGGAAGCATCACCATGTCCCCCATGATCCGAGGAAACGGCATATCTTCCATGGCCCAGACTGGGTTCTCATCGCTTGGGCTGATTCGGCCGCATGAGGTGTCCGCCTGGGCGTCGGTATCCCGGTGGAGGAACGCGCCAAACCGGGCTCCACCGCAGACCACTATTGCGGGGTGTAAATAGCCTCCTCCAGCGATGTCAAGGGCGAGCATCGCAGATGAGCCGGCGGAGGGGTAGCTCCGAGGCCCGCCAGGTATCGGAGGGTACTCGCGGATGACGGCGCCGGTGTCGGAGTCATAGAGGACGGCGCGGGAGTTGGCAAAAACGAAGAGGTGGCCGTCTGGGAGGAGATGGACAAAAGGGTAAAGATTGTCCATTTGGGAATCTTCGGCGGCGGCGAGGAAAGGGAAGAGGTGGTAAGGCCGAGAAGGAGGGTAGAATTCGACGGAAGGGGCGGCGCGGCCGCCAACGATTATTATGGAACCGTCTGGGAGGATTTGATTAGTGGCGTACCATCGGCCGACAACGAGGAGAGGGGCGTGGAGCTCGCGCCAGTCGCAGGGGAGGTTAGGGGCGCAAGGAGAGAAGGTGCGGAAGCGGCGTAGGCCGTCGAGGTCGCCGCCGGTTTGGAGTAGAGTGCCGTCGGGGAGGAATTGGCCGGAGGAGCACCAGGTATCGGTTAGGATGGAGAGAGGGCGGAAGGAGAGGGTAGAGGGATCGAAGAGGGCGGAGTGGGCTGTGCAGTCACCGTGGGGGAGGGCACGGTCTTTGGGATCGTAGCGGCAGTGACCGGCAGGGAGGTGGAGTTCCGAGGGACCGATGTCGGTGCGGTCGAGAAGGACGACGGTGCCAAAGTGGGTGACGGCAGTGTGCATCGAGGCGATGCCGGCATTCTCTAGAAGTAACTCCCAAGTGCCCGGGAGCTGGGCGAGCGAGAGCAACGGTAATGAAAACAGTATGGGGAAGTGGAAGAAAAAGAATCGGAAGTTCCTCTGCTTCATAGTGTTCTGTATGTTAGATGAAGTCCTGGCCTGGCCAGAAATTGGTCGGATGGTAGGTGGAAGAAGGAGAAGGAGAGTATATCGTGGTTCAAAAAGTGAGTAACTATAGAAGGATTCCATTTTTCTTGTGTACCACACGATTGTAACTAAATTTTCTTTTTCTTTTTTTAATTTATTATGTAATGCCTAAATATAAATTAAACAGAAAAGAAATATAAATTTAATAAAATTTTCAAAATTTAAACATGAACAAAAGTTCAACTTCTAATGTCAACTTTTTTTATGTAATCTTTATTCATTTTTAAATTTAAATCTTTTAATGTTGATTTCTTTTATGAAATGATGAAAATTTTTAAATTTGAGGTATATATTTTAAGATTTATCATTATTATTAAAAAAAATTAAACCTTACTAATAATTTAAATTTTTTATCAATTAAACTATTTCACTCGAAAAAAACTGCAATTTCTTCTCCTAAAGAATGCAGCCTTTAAAATCTTTGGAGGCTACCTTTCTCATCCATAGGCACAAAGGAGCAAATAATGAATTCAGATCCCACGACCAACAACGAGATTTTTTTTTTCTTTTATTTTCGCTTTGTTTACTAAATTTATTATTTGATTTCTTAGGGGTCAATTGATTTAAAGTAAAAAGGGTGCAAAGTATTTTGCCGGGAATTTAAAAAATGTATGTTGGATTTAAGGGTTGTTTGGTCGCCTTAAAAAGGAATGAAGTGAAGAATGATTGCAATGTATTTAAAAAATTTTATAGTTATTTGATCGAGTGTAAAGTAAATACAAGTTTTTATTTTTTTTTTATTTTGCTTAAAGTAAAGTGAATGCAGTGTAAAGTAAATGCAATGGCGGTCGGTGGCAGCTGGGGTTGTCGGCGGCGGCGGGGGTGACCTACGGTGTAGGGGAAGGTCAACTGTGGTGGGGGTGGCCGGTAGCGATGAGGTTGGCCGACGATGGCTAGGGTGGCCATTGGTGGCGAGCAGGGGCCGGCGGTTGATTGCTGGCGGCTTTGGAGGTGGCAGCATGCAATGGCAATAGCGATAAGTTTTCATTGTATTTAGAACTGTCTAAATCTGAGAAATTTCAAATACTATAAATTTGAACTACATGCATAATTTCTTGTATTTCAAAATTTTACCACGCATTCCTTTTACTAGGGAATAAATATCAATATTTTCAAAACCCTTATATTTGAAATACATTACTCCTAATGCATCAAACCAAATAGCCCCTTAAAGTAAAACAAATGCATTGTAAAATTTTAGTGTATTTAGAATTCACCTTCTAGTTTTTTTTTTTTTTCCTTTTTTTTTTTTTGGAAATTTTTTTTTTGGAAATTCTTCAAATTTTAGTGAGTTCAAATACATCATAAATTCATATTTTTTATCGCCGCAAACTACCAATCGTCATCGCTGGCTGGCTGGCCGCCACCGTCATCGCTGACCATAGATCAATTGTAAAATTTTAGTGTTGTTGCGAGCTAGAATATACGCGGCGATAGAGTTGTAATTCTATGTCTTAGCGTTGCAAGGATATCCAGCTCACACACAAAGTACACAAGATTTTTTACGTGGAAAATCCCGTAAATGGAAAAAACCACGGGGCCTAGTCCAGTTGAAAAGATTTCATTAGAATTTGAGTTGAGTACAGTGGGTTGACTCGTCGTTGAGGGCGATCATATTACAAATTTCAACCGTATTATTGAAGTATAGAGTTAAAATTTGGCCTTGGAACTTGGGGCGTCAGTTAGTAGTTTGATAGTGATTTGGCAGAACTCTGGCGTCAGTTGATGGTCCGACGGAGTTTAGGGCTTTAAGTAGTGTCAGAAGAAGGCGAGGGCCTCAGGTGGTGGTCCGGCAAAGGCGAGGGCCTCAGGTGGTGGTCCGGCGAAACTCTGGTGGTGATCGAGGAGGAGCTTCTTCCTTCTCTTCCTTCTCTTCTCTTCTTCTCTTCTTCTCTTCTTGCTTGGATCCCTCTTCAAGAGAAATGAAGGATCTATTTATAAATTTATGGAGTGGGATGACCCATAAATAGGTGAGAAATCAAGGCTAAATAGGGAGTGGTTGGATGGACGACTGATGTTGAATCCCTTGATCATGGACCATTTGATGAACATTTGAAAGTCTTAGTGATGTCGGATTTTGGTGATCTTGGGCTCGTTGGATTTTTCTCATCGAGCATCTCTATTCGACTATAAGCACAATATATTTGGAAATTGGTTGGTAATCCAAATTGTGGTTCAAACCATCCAACAGCGCTTCTAACTCTTGATTTGAACCCGTTTGGGCTTGGATTGGGTTGGATTTGGTGTCGTTGGGTTCGTATTCTTGAGACGCTCAGTTTGACTATAAGTTTGCTGAAATCGGAGTTTGAATGGTCCCAAATTTAATTACAGAAGCTTCCAACTTGATTTTGCATCGATATTTATGCCTGATCAAGATAATTTTTAATGACGTAACAAGTGTATTTAGAATTCACCTTCTAGTTTTTTTTTTTTTTTTTAATTTGGACATTCTTTAAATTTTGGTGAGTTTCAAATACATTATGAATTCATATACTTTATCGTCGCAAACTGCCAGTCGCCATCGCTGGCTGCCAGGCCACCACTGCCATTGTTGGCCATAGACCAAGACTGCTAGCACCGGCCGCATGTCTTAGTTTTCCACCACCTCCAATAAGCAACCACCCGCTGTCAACCAACACCACCATGACCACTATCTCCACAGCTAGCAAGCCCCAATCACCACTGTCAACCACCGCCAGCCCCCACCCATCTTGACTACTACTGCCACGGGCCACTACTATCCATTCATTTTATACTTATCAAAATAATTTTAAAATATTTTTTAATATTACATTAAATTTCCATGGACGAATTTTAATAGGGAGCATAGTTAATACATAACTAAGCAAAAAGAGTGTAATTACTAAATAATTTAAAAATGAGCAAAAAAGTCAAATTATTTGGCGTTTTTTATCCTAAACATAATTAATTAAGAATACGCTGAATTGTTTGACGTTCTCTATAAAAAAACGCCATATATTTTGGCGTATTCTTTAAAAACGCCAAAAATATGAGTGTAATTCTCACTTTGCTGTAGAGAGAGAAAGCTGAATTGGAGAGAGAGAGACATGAAATGGGAGAGAGAGGCGGGGTGAGAGAGACTGCCATAAAACAAGTTTTATAAAGTTATAAGTTTATTTAAATTAATATAATTATTAATCAAAATTAATAACTTTATAACTTAATATAATTATAAATTTAATTTAATATAATTATTAATTAATTTTTTAATTTCAAATTACTTTTTATTAAACTTTAAATTTTAATTTAAGTAAAAATTTTTAATTTAATTTAATTATAACAATGCTCCTATATCAAATGTGTTTCAAGTTCTCGGAAAATAAAAATAAAAATAAAATAAATAAATAAAAATAAAAAAATTAAAAAAAAAATGTTTCGAGTCTTCGATTTGAACCCATTTGGGTGCAGATTGAGTCGAATTGGTTTCGTTGGGTTCGTCTCTTCGAAAAGATTAGTTCGACTGTAAGTTTGTTTAAATAGGAGTTCAGATGATCTTTGATTCTATTTTTAAAATTTCTAACTTCATTTTGCCTCGAGATTTGTGCTCGCTCAAGATACCTTTTTGATGATATAACACTAATTAAATTTATAATTATATTAAGTTATAAACTTATTAATTTATAAATTAATATAGTTATAATTATTAATCAAAATTAATAACTTTATAACTTTATCTAATTATAAATTAAAATTAATAACTTTGTAAGTTAATTTAAATAAACTTATAACTTTATAAAACAATGTTTTATATCTATTTCTCTCACCCCCCATCTCTCTCCCCTTATTCCTGCGTCTCTCTCTCCAATTCGGCTTTCTCTCTGCACAGCAAAATGAAAAATGCTCTGAAAATTTTGACGTTTTTTAAGAATACGCCAAAATATATGGCGTTATTCACGGAGTACGTCTATTAATTCGGCGTATTCTTAATTAATTATATTTTTTTAGAACACGCCAAATTATTTAACGTATTTGCACATTTTTAAATTAATTAAAAATTACGCTCTTTTTGCTTAATTACACGTAAACTATACTCTTTTTAAAATTCGGCCAATTTGGCGCAATTTCTATTCATTTTTTTTTACACACTGCACTTAATCCTTTTTTATTCAAAAAAACGTCCCTCAATGATTTCCATTTTTTTTCCATTTTTTTATTAACAACCTGCGGGTCCAGGTTCCACAAAGAGTTGTCTATCTTCGTCCTTTTTTTAATGAACCATACAATGAAACCACGCGCTTGATATTTTGCTACAAGAACACTGGTCCTGAATCTGTCGGTTTTTATTATTCTTATTTACTTTTTATAATACTCAATAGAAAAAAGGTTTTGTATATACTATCAAGTAAAGCCGAATTTGAGTCACTTCTGTTTTGAATTTGAATTTTATTATTGAATCAAGTTTAAAGTTGTTGCCTCCTGAAATATTTGCGTTGGTAGAGAAATATAAAATTTAACGTCTTAGCTTTGTACGAAGATCCAGTACACATACAGATAAAGAGAAAGGGTGCATAATTCATAGTAGACACTAAGATTTTTACATGAAAAAGTCTTGAAAATGAGAAAAAACCAAGGGGCTAAGCCCCGTTTGAATGAATCCACTAGTATTTGCACTTGATTACAAATGAGGCCCTTCCTTGGGGTAAGAACTTAACTTGATGTACATCATATATAGTATATTACATGTGGGAATACAAATAATCATTGTTGATGTATTTATTTGGTCGAAAGGGTCATAGTCGGTGGGCGACGGAGATCGGAAGGAATGTAGTCGATGGACGACGTAAGTTGGAATGACCGTAGTCAGTGGGCGACGGAGGTCGGAAGGACTATAGTCGATGGACGACGTAAGTCGGAAGGACCATAGTCGGCGGGCGACAAAGGCCATAAATAATGTTGCCTGGATACGGAGGTCGGAAAGACAACGTCAGGTAGAAGTCCAGTGATGGGCATAATTCCAGCATCAGATAGAAGTCCGACGAATGTCCAACGACGAGCAGAAGTTC